ATCTTTATTGATTTTCTGCCTGTTGGATCTGTCTGTTACTGATAAGGGATCTTGATGTCCCCAACTGTCATAGTGGACTCCTTTTCTCCTTGTAGTTGTATCCATTTTTAACTTGGGTATTTTGGTGTTATGTTTTTGGGCATATACAGATTAAGGATTATTATGTCTTGGAGAATTAACTATTTTATAATTTTCTCTGATAATTTTTGTTGTTCTGAAGTCTGCTTTTGAAAGTAATATAGCTACTGCAGCTTTCTTTTGATCTAGTGTTAGCATGGTATGTCTTTACCACTTTAACCCACTTTAACCCATCTGTGTCTGTATTTAAAGTGAGTTTCTTTTAGACAACATACAGTGGGATCTTGTTTTTATGTTCACCCTGACAGTCTCTTTTAATAGGTGTATTTCAGCCATTGATGTCTAAAGTGATAATTGGTACAGTTGGAGTAATACTTACTATATCTGTTACTATTTTCTTTTGATTGTCCTCTTTGCTTTCCACTCTTTGGCCTTCTGGTATTAATTGAACATCTTATATTCTGTTTTTTCTCAGTATAACATCCTCATTTAGCAAGTCTGTGATACTTTTAAAACTTTTTTTTAGTGGTTGCACTCAGGTTTGTGCTAACAGGTTTGTGATACTAACCAACCTTTCTTTCAAATCATGCTGTTCTACTTTACATGTAGTACAAGTACCTTATAACAAGGTATTCCCAGTTCTTCCCTCCTGTCCCTTGTAACCTTGCTGTCATTTACTTTACTAATCTGTAAGGTGTAATCACTGGATGTATTGTGACTCCTATTTTGAGTAAACTAGTAGCTGTTAGATCTGTTAAGAATAATAGGAAAAGATGTTATTTTACTTTTATTCTTGTCTAACATTCCTCCTTTCTTTATCTAGATCCAAGTTTCTGACCTATATAATTTTCCTTCTTTCTGACAATCTTTTAATATTTCTTGCAAGACAGGTTCCCTCAATTTATGTTTGCTGAGGATCTCTTTTATTTCTCATTCAGTTTTGAAGGTAATTTCACTGAATACAGAATTCTAGGTATATGGATTTTTAACTTTTTTTTAAGGTTTTGTTTTTGTTTTTGTTTTTGTTTTTGTTTTGGGTAGTAATCTTTACACCCAGTGTGGGACTTGTACTCACAACTTCAAGATCACAACTTCTGACTTAGCCAACCAGGGACCCCTGAACTCTTAATTATTTCACTCTACTTCTCTTGTTTGCATGGTTCCTGAAGAGAAGTCTGATATAAATTATGAAATAATGATTTATAAATTTATATAATACAAATTATAAATTTTTCCTTACTCATTGTCCCATACTTCTTGGATATCTTGTTTTTTTCAAGTATTTTTTTTGTTTTTGCCTTTCAGTTTTGGAAGTTTCTACTGACATTTCTTCAAGCTCATTTGCTGGTTTGTTTTGTTTTGTCCAGCCTAATAATAAGCCTATTGAAGGCATTTTTGCATTTTAGTGGTTTTGATTTATAGCATTTCCTTTTGACTCTCTGCTTATGTTATATACATTCGTTCTTGCATGTTGTCTGCTTTTTCCATTAGATTCCTTAGCATAATTTAAAAAAGATTTATTTGTGTATTTGAGAGAGAGAGAGAGTGTGTGTGTGTGTGTGTGAGAGAGAGAGAGGTGCGAGCAGGAGTGGGGGGAGGGGCAGAGGGAGAGAGCCTTTACGCTGACTCCCCTGCTGAGCATGGAGCTCGATACCACCACCCATGAGATACCATGACCCATGAGATCATGGTATGAGCCAAAACCAAGAGTTGGTCACTCAACCTGTTGAGGCACCCAGGCACCCAAAAATCACTTACTGTATTAAATTCCTGGTCTGATAATTCCCATATCCCTGCTTTACCTGAGTATGGTTCTGATGCTTGCTGTCTCTTCAAACTGTGCTTTTAATATGCCTTGTAATTTTTTTTGAAAGCTGGACATGATGGTACTAGGCAAAAGGAGCTGAGAGAAATATGCCTTTAGACTGAGGTTGTTATCCACCTAGAGGAGACTCATCTCTGTTACTCTAGGCAATTGCTATAGGTGGCAGAGGCTGGGATTTTCTCTGGTGTCTTTGGTTTTGTCTCCCATGGTGTTTTGGGTTTTCCTAGTTACTTCTTAAAATCTTAAAAAAATGAAGTTTTTTTCAGTTTCTTTTATACAGGAGCTCTACTGATGCAACAGCAAGGAAGTAGGGGAATCGGAAGTGCTAATCATAGACTTAAGATTACTTTTTTAATTTTTTAACCTCTTAGTGTGTCTGTGCCCTAGGACTATTTTAGACACTATATTTTTTAGTTCTAGAATGTCCTTTAGGGGTGCCTGGGTGGTTCAGTCAGTTAAGCAGCTGACTTTGGCTCCGGTCAAGATCTTGGGGCCATGGAATCAAGCCCCTAAGCCCCCCCCTCATGCTCACTTGCTCTCTCTCAAATAAATAAAATATTTTTAAAAATTATTTCTCCTTTGAGATTTTTATTCTTCATGAGCAAATTGCATCCATTAGCATTTTATAATAATGGCTTTAAAATCTTCGCTAAATTGAGGGGCTCTTGGGTGGCTCAGTCAGTTGAGTGTCTGCCTTCAGCTCAGGTCATGATCCCACAGTCCTGGGATCGAGCCCCACAGCGGGCTCCCTGCTCAGCGAAGAACCTGCTTCTCTTGCTCCCTCTGCTGCTCCCCCTGCTTGTGTGCTCGTTCTCTCTCTCTATCAAATAAATAAAATCGTTAAAAAAATTTAGAATTAAAATAAAATCTGTGCTAAATCGAAAGTATCACATCTTACAGTTCTCCATTTAATTGCTTTTTGAGCATTGTTTTGTTTTCCTATTTCTTTATAGGTCTGCTAAATTTGGATTGTATTCTGGACATTTTAAATGGTACCTTGCAGAGCCTCTGTTGTGTGTTATATTCCTCCAGAGAATGTTGATTTTTTTTTTTTTTAGTAGATTTGTTTTAGCAGATACTTAATTTAATTGGTTCAACTGCAAACTCTACTCATCTTTCACAGAAGTGCAGCTAAAATATTACATTTTTTTCTTTAGCTGCTTTGCCCACAGCCTATCTTGTACATACATAGTTCTGGTAATCAGCCTGAAATTCGAGTAGAGTTTATTTATTTATTTTTAATATTTGAGAGAGAGAGTGAGCACACAAGTCTGGGGGGGGGCAGAGCAGAGGGAGAGTCAGACTCCCTGCTGAGCATGGAGCCCAACTGGGGGCTCCATCCCAGGACCCTGACATCATGACCTGAGCCCAAGGCAGCCGCTTAAGACCAACTGAGCCACCCAGGTGCCCCTTGAGTAGAGTTTATATACCAATTTGGGATTTCCTCCTTTGGCTTTCTCCATTTCAGCATTTATCCCCCTTTTCTAGGTGCTATGGTTGTCTTGAACTCTGTCCTCTGATTCTTCAAGCACCAAAACTGTAGTTTTCTGTTTCAGCCAAACTTCTCTCCTCTGGCAGCCACTGGGGCCTCCCCTCAGGCCAAATGCTGTGAATAAAAACTCACTTAGGGTTTTCCTATCTTCTAAGTATTGATGTTCTCTCCAGTTTTTCTTTATTTCTGGTCACTTTACAGTGCCTTCAGGTAGTAGTGTTGTAATATTTTGCCCAGGGTTTATAGTCACCATCAATGGGAGAATTGGTCTAAGAGGAACTGTTCAGCTGATACTGGGTAGTGGAAATTCTCCATGTTAGCAGTGAAAGTTGGAATTACAATATTAGAATAACAAGTATTTATATAGTACTTCTTTGTCATAAAAACACTTTAGATTATCTGATCCATCATGATTGTTAATGATATAGTAGGCAAAAGACTAATGCGTAGATGTTGCTACATTTAGTGGTAAGAATCTGGTCCAGAAGTGAATTTGGACTCTAAATTGAGTATAGTATGTATAGCGCAATGTGGTAACTAAAGCAAAAAGTTGGGGAGGAAGATAGTAGTGAAAACTTTAGGTATGGAATGAAAAGCAGAATTTTGTGCCTTTGAGATGAGACTGTCACAGTTTGTAATTTTTATTTTTTTATTTTTATTTTTTAAAGATTTTATTTATTTGAGAGAGAGAATGAGAGAGAGAGAGAGAGCATGAGAGGAGGGAGGGTCAGAGGGAGAAGCAGACACCCTGTGAGCAGGGAGCCCGATGTGGGACTCCATCCCGGGACTCCAGGATCATGACCTGAGCTGAAGGCAGTCGCTGAACGAACTGAGCCACCCAGGTGCCCCAGTTTGTAATTTTTTAAAAACTTAATTAGTTTTAGTTATTTAGTTTGTTTATTTACTACACTGTAAGCTTCTGAAGAGAGCAACCATGTTTTTGTATGCCCAGCTTTTAGCCCAGTGTCCAACATGTGTTAGATGTCCATATTTGTTGAGGAATGAATGAAAACATACACACACACACACACACACACGGGTACCAAGGAGTGCAAGTAATAGTTATAAAAATCTATTATAGTCAGTCTTAAACTCTTTAGTACAGTTGAGGTTTTTATTAACCTAGATTTTGAGGGATGTGATAAGTGGGAGTTGAAAGTTAATGTGGGAATGTTCCAAACTGGGAGGAGGAGGGGAGTGGCAAGAAGATTTGGGAAAATTAGTAAAATAATATTGGTAAGAGTTGTTAACTACTTTGTATATTAGCAATGAAAAAAATTTTTTATAAATACGGAGAAAGCTACAAGATACTTGGGAAAATATATTTAAGGACTTAAGTCTAGGCAGATAGATAGTATGGAGTCCCAGAAAATACACAGAAAAAGAATAATACGATGAGAGCAGTTTGAAAGGGATGATTCAAGCAGGTCTTGAGTAGTAAGACATCTCAGCATGGAGGTAAATGATGAAAAGCATTCAGTGATTTTCATTCCTTCTGTGTTTCAGTATTCTAACATCCGAAGAGGATGAGGGAGGGAGTTAAAAGGAAGTATTTATAGGCTATTATAATCAGATTCTTTGTAATAAAATTTTCTTGTTCCATAGCTTTTGGATAAGCACAAGAATACAGAAAGCATGGTTGAGCTTCTGGACTTGTATCAGATGGAGGATGAAGCCTATAGCAGCCTTGCAGAAGCCACAACTGAACTGTATCAGTATTTACTACAGCCATTCCGAGACATGAGAGAACTTGCCATGCTACGGAGACAACAGATCAAGGTATTTTTTTTTTTTTTTAAACCTTCATAGTTCCCTGCCTGTTTCATAGTTCTCAGCCTGGCTGGCCGTAGAGGAGCTTTGTGCCCATAGAGGAGCTTTTTAAAAATGCAGATACCTGGTCCTTTCTCCCCAAAGATTCTATTTTGGTCGATTAAGATTGCATAGAGCCTGAGAACCTCATTTTAGAGTATCTCAAAGGGGATTCTGTTGAGTAGGCAGGGATAGGAAGAGCCTAGAAAGGTAAGTTGTAGATGCATAGAGAAATCTACAGGCTGCAGGGAGCCTGATACGGGGCTTGACCCCAGGGTCATGACCTGAACCAAAGGCAGACCCTTAACCACCTGAGCCACCCAGGTGCCCCTATCCTAAGGGATCTTAAAAAAACCTGTTGAAAATAATATGTGAATTAGGTACAAGGTTAATGTTAAAAATTCAGTTGCATTTTCTGTCTTTTAGAAATGAAAATTATAGAAACTTTAAAATACCATTATAAGTATCTCTGAACATGAACTGTTTAGAAATAAATTTTACAAAGTATATGAAAGTTCTGTATACTGAAAATTATAAAACGTTGCTGAGAGACAGTAAGTGTACCTTAAGAAATGGGGAGATCATGATAATAGCTTGGAAGACTCAGTAATGTTTAGATGTCAGTTTTCAGTTGATCTGTAGATTCAAATTAAAATTCTAGTAGGTTTTTCCCTCCAGAAACTGACAAGCGAATTATAAATTTTTATGGAAAGGCAAAGGAGGGCTTTAACAATTTTGAAAAAGATAAAATTTGAAGTCAGGTAATAAGTCCTCCTTACTAAAAAACTAGAGAAATCCAGACATTGTACTATTGGCCTAGGATAGAATTGTAAATCAACAGAATAGAATAGAATCCAGAAGTACATGAGTGGTTATATAAGTTTTTCACGAAGGTGACAGAGCAGTTCAGTGGGAGAAAGAATTTCCAAGAAATGGTACCAGAACAACTGCAGACCCACATTAAAAAAATTGATCTCATATGTGCTTGGCTGAGGAGCCAATGGGGCGAAGCTACCATCTGTGGGATTATGACTGAATGCCTGTAAGTCAGAATCCTGCCCAGGCAGACTGATAAGGCAGCGCCACAGAGCCTTGGTTGGCCTCGGATAGTGGGTCCCCTGCCTCCCTGCCGGCGGGCCTCCGTGTGTCATGACTGGGGTCTGGTGTGGAGAGCCCCTGTCCCAGGAAAGGGGGCTGCCTCGTCGCCTGTGACGCAACGCACGTTCGTGGGGAACCTGGTGCCAAACCATTCGTAGACGACCTGCTTCTGGGTTGGGGTTTGTATGTAGCAGAGCAGCTCCCTTGCTGCAATCTATTGAAATTCAGCCTTCGACACAAGGGTTTGTTAAAAAACAAAGAATTTTTAAAAATTTTAAAAAAGGAAAATTAAGGGGGAAAAACACAACAAACCATGTACAAAAATTAACTTGAAATCCATCTTAGACCTCAACAGGATCTCATGTTCTAAAACGTGCATAAGAGGGGCGCCTGGGTGGCTCAGTAGGTTAAGCGTCAACCTCTTGATTTTGACTCGGGTCATGAGATCGAGCCCTGCATTGGCTCGGTGCTGGGTGTGGAGCTTGCTTAAGATCTTTCCCTCTCCCCACCACCACTCCCCCAGTTCCCTCTTAAAACAAAATGGAAAACTTATATAAGAAAACATAGGAAGTTTTCACAATTTTGGGAAAGAAAAGGTAAAGGCTTTTTAGGTAGGATGCAGAAAACTTGAGCCATAAACTTTAAAAATTTTTTTTGATAAGTTGGACTTGACCAAAATTAAACACTTAATTTTTGAAAGATTGTTAAGAAATAGAAGGCAAGCGCACAGACCGGGAAAAAAATACTTCTAATACATCTGAAAAAGGAACTCTACATACAGCTCAGTAAGACAACCAAAAAAATTTAAAAATCAGCTAAATATTTATTTGTTTATTTACTTAAAGGATTTTATTTATTTGTCAGAGAGAGAGCGAGAGAGTGCACAAGCAGGGGGAGCAGCAGGCTGAGAGAGAAGCAGGTTCACTGCTGAGCAAGGAGCATGATGTGGGGCTCCATCCCAGGACCCTGAGATCATGACCTGAGCTGAAGGCAGACGCTTAACGTGCTGAGCCACCCAGAAGTCCCTAAAAATCAGCTAAATATTTAAAAGACAAATAAATGGCTAATGAGCACACACAGAGAAGCTTAAAATTGTCATCATGGAAATTCAAATTAAAACTATAATGAGATACACACCCATTAGAGTGAATATAATTTAAATTTCTGGCACTTGGGCACCTGGGTAGATTAGTCGATTAAGTGGCTGCCTTTGTCTCAGGTCATGATCCCAGGGTCCTGGGATTGAGCCCTGCTCAGTGGGGAGCCCGTTTCTCCCCACCCCCCACCTGTGCTCTCTCTCCATCAAATGAATAAATAAAATCTTAAAAAAATATTGTGGGGGCGCCTGGGTGGCTCAGTTGGTTAAGCGACTGCCTTCGGCTCAGGTCATGATCCTGGAGTCCCGGGATCGAGTCCCACATCGGGCTCCCTGCTCGGCAGGGAGTCTGCTTCTACCTCTGACCCTCTTCCCTCTCGTGCTCTCTATCTCTCATTCTCTCTCTCTCAAATAAATAAATAAAATCTTTAAAAAAAAAAAAAAATATTGTGGTGCTCCCAAGGGCTGGTAAGGATATGGAGTAACTGGAATTCTCAGATATTCCTAACATATTTTATAGTGGTGTAACCACTTTGGTAAACTGTTTGGCTGTTTCTTAAGGAGTTTTATATATTTACATACCTTACTACTCAGCTATTCAAATCCTAGTTATTTATAAAAGAGAAATGAAAACATCTACCCCTAAGACTGATACACTAATACTCATGCCACCTTTCTTCCCAGTAGCCCCTAACTGGAACAGCCCCAATAACCATCAATGGGTGAATGGATAAGCAAAATGTGGTAGTTCCATATTACAGAATAAATACTCAGCAGTGCAAAGGAATTTACTCTTGATAGGCACAACAACATGGATAAATTTGAAATCTTGCTAAGTCACAGAAGCCAAATACAAAAGTGTATATTCATGTGTGAAAGGATGGATGGCATGAGGAATCTTCTGGAGGTGATAAAAATGTTTTATGTCTTGATTGTAGTGGTTGTTGCTTGGGTGTATACAGCTGTTAAAACTCATCAAATTGAGCACTTTAAATGGATTAATTTATATATAAATTAAGCTTAATAAAACAGTTTACAAAAAAATATGCTGAACAAAAGGCAGCAGACACAGTGTAAACTGTATGAATCCATTTATGTGAAATTCTGGAGATGATGGTTCTGATCTATATTGACAGAAAGCTTAGCACTTGTTGCCTGCGGTTAGGCAATGGAGATTGACTAAGAGGGAACAGGTGTAACAGAATCCTTTGGGTGATTGATAGGCTCTAAATTTTTATTATAGTGGTTTTTACATGAATATATAAACTTGTCAAAATTCATCAAAATTTACACTTACATCGGGAACATTCTGTTGTATGTAAATTATAATTTAATAAGGATGATTTTTTTAAAAAAGGGAAAAAGTATCATGTAAAAGTTGATGTAGAGGCACACAAATGGGAGTGATCAACACTGCCTAAAGATACATGGAAAAAGAGGGATTATTGAGCACTTCACCATTGAAAGAATCAGCAATTCAGTAGGAAGTGGGTACCTATGTCTGCACTGGAGATTGGAATAGAGAATTGTCCAGATACAGATAAAAACAGGAATGGTACAGTGAATAGGCATGTATGTGCTTGTGCTTTTAGTCAAAATGAATTATTGAATAAATTACCAAATCTTCACTCCTGCCTGGCACCATTGGTCATTGCTGGTAAATAGCATGGCTAGGATTGAGACACATGTCTGTTGAACTGCAAAGCTTGCTGTTTTAGCTATCCTACAGGGTGTAAATTTGGTATGTCTCGGGTCTAAGGATTTGTAGGAAATGAGAGGAAAGGTGGTCCAGGGCTAGAACTCTGTAGCATCCTATGGAGTTTGACCTGTACTCTAGATTCTTTAGAAAGAACTTAATTTCCAGTGCTTTTAACCTAGATATTAAAGCATGATAGAAAAGACGTTAACTTGGTACCCTGAATGTATATTTGTATTATATATTATATAATATTTATAAAATATTCATATGCTTGTACTTAATATATTTGATATTTTATAAAATATATTAACATTTTATAATATAGTTACTCTATATTTTATATTAAGTATACTTTAGTCTTTTTTTTTTAAGATTTATTTTTTTTGACAGAGACACAGCAAGAGAGGGAACACAAGCAGGGGGAGTGGGAGAGGGAGAACAGGCTTCCTGAAGAGCAGGGAGCCTGATGCAGGGCTCGATCCCAGGACCCTGGGATCATGACCTGAGCCGAAGGCAGACACTTAACAAATGAACCACCCAGGAGCCCCCAGTATAGTCTTAATTATATTTATATAAATGGTATTTAAAGTTTTTGTTCATTTTGTATTCTTTTTTTTTAAGTTTTATTTTGTTAGTCACCATACGTTACCTCATTAGTCTTTGATGTAGTGTTCCATGATTCATTGTTTGCATATAACACTCAGTACTCCATTCAATACGTGCCCTCCTTAATACCCATCACCAGGCTAACCCATCCCCTCACCACCCTCCCCTCTAGAACCCTCAGTTTGTTTCTCGGAGTCCATAGTCTCTCATGGTTCATCTTCCTCTCCGATTCCCCCCCTTCATTTTTCCCTTCCTGCTCTTTATTTTGTATTCTTAAAAGCATTCTTTATTACTCATAGAAGGCCTTTGATCATAAAACACCACTTTACTAATTGTTCAGATCTAGGAGCTTTATCTCAAGGCAGAAAGTAATATTTGGCTCTGTCTGCTAGTTCTATGCCTCACACAAGTATCTGGTTCTTTTTTTTTTTTTAATTTTATTTATTTGCGAGAGAGGGGGGCAGAGGGAGA